AAAAATAAATTTTAAAAAGTCCATTGAAATGCTTTGAAAATAATATTCCTCAAGCAGTAATTTTTAAAGTTAGGGACAAAGAAAACAGTGATTTACCACACGATACATTCATATTCCATAACTATCAAACAAGTTTGAGGGAAGAATTGCACCTGTGCAAGTTTCTATTGGCAAGCTTCGAGGACAAAAAATAATTTTATGTAATATTATTGTGCAAAGCCTTCCCTGACGTCTTAAACCTACATCTGGGTTTATAAAATCAGGCAATGTGATTTTGTTATAATTTGAAAGGGAATAACAACACTTAATGCACTAGTAAAACTTTTTTCTTAGCGGTAAATAGAAAATAAACGAAATAGTTAAACACATATACAATGGTGATGTACATTGGCAGTTAAATATACAAAAAATTACAACTTTCGAAACGTTGTTTTATTATAATCGCTTATTTAATTTACATTTCATATCACATGTAGATGTATCTATCTATCTTGTAAGAGTGATTTTTTTGAGAAAAGACAGGTTTGAATCCTGTTGAGAAAGTAAAACAGATTCATAGTCAGACGGTTATGCTACCCATAGCTTACACCCCCAGTTCGCTATTGGTTTTATTTATTTCTTTGAAACAGAACACATGAAAAGTTTGAACTCACTTGTTACAATTTTCAAAAAAGTGTCCTTTATGCTCGTCATCTTGAATCTAAGATATCAGACTTGTAAGTCTACCTGAGGAATTATTTAAGGATACAAGTTACCTTCAAGTGTGAAAACCGATTTTTAGATATACAATTACTGTTGGAAAATATTCGAAACGATCCGTCATATGAAAAGTTTCAGACTCTTTCCCACCTCAAGTGAATTTCAAACAGCTTTTTAGGAATTTTCAAATGAAAACAATAGAACAATGCTTACATTTTGGGATTCCTTCTTTGTTAGGTGGGAATCTCTTTTCACTTTGATTAGATCTTTTATGAGAGGAAAACTAGAAACTGGCACTGCATTAGACATATTTTGCCTTATATGTTTGTCTATGATCATCATAACTAGACATTTAACTTACCTAGATTATATTGTTGAAACAAAAGCAAACCTGATAATGAAAGTTAAAGAGGAATGACTAGCTTTAGTACAAACTAATGCAGTTGAGAGATGGTTACTGTCATCCCAAGTAAGATGTCTTAAGTAAAACACAAATTAATAAAGATAGAAAAGACAAAGAAACAGTTCAGATATGTTGTGATTGGGAATGACTTTTTTGTCGAGCAATCTGACAGACCAGTTATTTGAGTTCAGGGTTATATTTGATGAACCTTCTACAAACAGAAATAATGGGAACTCAGAAGATGAAAGATTTATTGAAAGGACGTGTTCATTTGCAAACTAAAGATATCTTTGACTCAATATCCAAAATGAGAATTGCGTCTCTAGTTGAATCTATGAATAAAGTTACAATCAAGCAGGATCGTGGAAAGACAATTATAATAGATCACAGTCTTTTCATTCGATATCCTATAATCGATCAGAGACATCATTCAAACATGAGAGTAGTGAAGCATACTTTGAGTACACCCTTAGCAACTATAAATATTAAAATATTGAGTCTTTTCATTCGATGTCCTATAATTGATCAGAGACATCATTCAGACACGAGAGTAGTGAAGCATACTTTGAGTACACCCTTAGCAACTATAAATATTGCCCCCCAGTGGCACAGCGGTATGTCTGCAGACTTACAACGCTAGAATCCGGGTTTCGATACCCGTTGTGGGTAGAGCACAGATAGCCCATTGTGTAGCTTTGTGCTTAATTACAAACAAACAAACTATGAATATTAAAATATTGAGGCACAGAAGGTTGTTTTGGGTAGTTTTCTGAGAATCACATCATAGGACAAAGTAGGCCTCATAGGTTTATAATAGTCATCCCTTACATGTGGTTAAGAAGTAGTTTTTTTTTAATTTCCATACTTCAAAAGTACATATAGAATTGATCATAGAATTAGACTTTGGGTTTTTATGTTCTGAACTTCAACGTGCATACCAGATATATTCCCCCATCTGCCCAAAATTACATATATAAACAATAAAGTAGGCATACATTGGAGCAGTAAAAACAAACCGTGTAAGCGTAAGACAAATAAAGATCGTTAAACATATGTGGAATCGTTTTAAGAGTGTCATTTTCTTCAGCAAGATAATTTTTTTCTGACTTTTTAAACTTTTTATATTGCCGTACGCAACAAATTCGATTAAGTGGAACTTAGAGGTTAAATGTGATAACCTTGTTGGTCTTTTGTTAGCTGTGGCATTCTCGCTATCTTATTATTATATCAGAAACTTTAGATGTGATCAAACATTGCTTTGCCTCATTTCACCTGTTTTCGTCGATGTTATACTAATGAAAACAATTATATTCCAACAACTGCATACCGGACACCCTTTGTGTTATCTGACTAAAGTGAAATTTATTGGCTTCTTATTATTCTTACTATATCAATTCAGCGTTATTGTAATAACATAATATTATGCTTTATATTTATACGTGAATTATAAAATAATGTAATTGTTTCCATAACTACACAAGAAAGGAGTTTATTCGAAATTTATTACATTGCACTATTTGTATTCAATGAATTACTAAAGTGATAATTTCATAATTAGCCTGGTATGACGTGGTGGCTAGGGCGCTCAACTCGAAATTTGCAGGTCGTGGGATCAAAACCCATCAACAAACATGCTCGTTTTGTTTTTAGCTGCAGGAGTGTCATAACATCACGTTCAGTCCCTCTATTTGTTGGTAAAGAGTAGTACAAGAGTTCTGAACTTCTGATGCAGCTCTCTTTGATTTATGCTCATTCAGGCGTATTAATCATTTAATTATGTTAACCTCTATGGCCTTATTTTAAATTCTAGTATAAGTAACTTATCCGAAAACGTTTAGAAGTTGAGAAGGTTTCTCCGATTGTATCATTTGTTTTACTGGTTTTGTATTTTACGCAGCTCTTTCCTTAGATAACCTGGTTAATATTATGATAATTGGATCTATATTTTTTCACCGGTATTTTTTTCTTTATTTTCATACAGATCTTTCAAATACCCGAACACTTTATTTTTAGCTTAGTAATAATAAAATATATTCCGTTGGAGATAATGAAAGAGCAAACAAAGTGAAGTCCAGCATGGATTTAGCAAGGTCCATCTGCCTAGAGCTTGGAGATGGACGACGTTTCGGTTTCTGTTTTTAACATAAACAGGATTAACCCTTGCAGTTAATCAGGGTTCACAGGCAAGCATCCTCTGCTGGTATAAGAATAAGTGACTGCAAGGTTATGATTCAGTTTGTTTAGTGAATGGACATTCGTGGTTATGTGTAGTAATTTTTTGTGTTGAATTACGTTTACTTTCGAGCAACTCCAACGCATAGGATTTCAATGTTAACACCTATTTATCAAGATATCTTTACTTATTGTGTTATTAATCATTCCAAAACTTGCTAAATAAAACAAACAATAGCATATTCCACATAAACACACAATGTGGCTTCATGCAAGTGATAACGGTAAGAAAATTCAGCTGTTTGTGTCTCAAAAACTGCAAGAGGAGTGAAAGAGATCCCAGCTGTTAAGATACTGATATAATTTTTCATATGTGTAGACGTAAATTTCAGACGTATACGAGTAAATGCTTATATACTAAAGCAACTCAAACATTTTGGTTTTTCACCAAAGCACAAACTGTGTTCCACAATTTGTATTTTTTTATTTATGACAAAGCTTCAAACGCTGTCTGCCACCGTCTCTAATTTTGAACTACTGATCAAACGGAAGACAGCCAGACAACAGCACTCTGCCATCCATCACCCACACTAAGGGATTTTACCGTTACTTTTATAACGCAGCCATAGCTTAAAGTCCAAGGAGGGAAGATGTAGTATCGTACGAATTTGAACCAGGCTTATCTGCTCCGAAATCCAGATCTATACCACAGGGCCAACACGACCCGTGCTTCCCAAACTCAGACTTGGGTAAAATATGGCACAGGTAACTGTTATAGTGATATAAACACGTTTTTTGTATGCTTTTTAATATAACACGAATGTCACGCGGTTTTCACTTGAATGTTTTTAATTTTTAAAAATATATTGCTATTTTTGAAGTCACATTTTTATGACGAGTTCTTGTTGGAACTGTTTAGGGATTGCATATGATGGAAAAGAATTACTCTTCATGTGAGATAAGTTTAAAAATATTATATGTGTTTGACTTTTGATTTACGTTATGAAGTTTAATTATGTTATTATACGTGCATAGACTGTAATTACAACCTTAATATTATAACAGACTTATGTAATATAATTTATAACACTGGATACATACCAACAGAAAAGAAATAATCTATATTTTTTACACTACTAAAAAAACCAAAGCACAGAACTGTACAGACTTCTGAACAATTACTTTAATGAGTCATCACCAAACTACTCTTGAAAGTAATACAGCAACGAATAGCAATCAAAATAGACCAAGAAGTAAGCAACTTACAGAGTGAGCTCAGACCAGGATGTGGCACAAGGGAAGGTATTTTTAATTTGAGAACAATCTGTGAACGTGCCATAGAGGTCCAACAAAATGTATATATATATATACATGTATGTGCTCCATAGGTAACACTAAGGCTTTTGATAGGATAAAACACTTAAAGATGAAAGAATGCTTACGGGAGATAGGAATTGTTGAGAAATATTTCCAGATCACCACAAAGAAGTATTGGGAACAAAAAGCGGTAGTAAGAACAGAATAAAACAGCAGAGTTTAACATCAAGAAAGGTATAAGACAAGGATGTGTATTATTAGAGAAATATAAGATATAAGAGGAGTATTGATCGTTGGAATTAACATCGACAACCTAAGATATGCAGATGACACAGCACTACTAACTTTAAGCGTATCAAATCTTCAAGAGTTAGTAAACGAAGTAAATGAAAAAGGAAAAAACTATAGAATGGAGATGAATACTAAAAAGACCAAATCAATAGTAGTGACTAAGAACCAAGAGGTACCTAAAATCAATCTAACTATGGAGAGAAAATCAATTAAACGTATCAAAAATTTTATACAATTAGGACACATGAGCACTGAAGATGCTAAGAGCGAAGTGGAGATTCAAAGAAGAATAGAAATAGCCAGGAGTGCATTTAACAACATGTCGAAAGTATTAACATCAAGTAACTTTATCATAACAACACGGATGAAACTAGTCAAATGCTACGTGTGGTCAATCCTACTATATGGTGCTGAAACGTGGACAATATCTAAAGCGATTCCTAAAAAGATCGAGGCATTTGAAATGTGGATCTATGTTAGAGTACTGAAAATATCTCGGACAGAACATAAGACTAATGAACAAGTATTAGAAATGATGAAAACTAAAATAACACTATCGTCAGTTATCAAGAAAATAGAATGTGAGTACTTTGGACATATTAATAAGAAATGGAATACAAAGACTGTAGCTAGAAGGAAAGATGAATGGGAAAAAGAGGAAGAGGCAGACCAAGAAATATGTGGATGGATAACATCAAAGATTGTATGGGAACATCATATAGTAACTGTGTTAGAATGGCGAAAAGAAGAGAGCATGACAATCAACCTGCTTCGAGCAGATGGCACGTGATGATGATGATGACAGATTGTATAAAAGTCAACACAATGTGTTCCGTATTGTTCCACCGCAGTGATTGTTTTATTTCAAATTTGAACTCGTCTGTAATAACTCAAACACCAAATTTATATTTCAAGCTGTCTTGTTTTAAACACAATTTTGTTATTTTACAATGTACTCTTCGCAAACTGAACTCATAGATCTTGTTACAAAACAAACAATAAACGGAACTACGAAACTCCTACATGTCTTCATCATATTTGACACAACAAAATGTTAACAGTGTTTTAAACTACATTAGTGATGTCACGTACTCGTAAGGTGATGTGTAAAAAAAATGACAGATAAGTTACGTTGGAACAGCGCAGGAAGAGTACTGCGTGTGATTTCGGTATACTAGGGGCACGTGGTTAAGCCTGGCGAGATGCAGGGCCCTTTTTCTATACAAATAAAAAACAGCATGCTCAGCAAAATGTTTTATCTGATTCAGTTTTACTTCAGTGAGCCCACACTCATTCGCTATTAAGTTTCGAAATGTGGCGATTTTGTAATGAGATAGTAATGCATCAACACACACACAACTAGCTGTGATTTCATGCACGTGCTTGTTTTACACGTAGCTGTGAATTCATGTACACGTTTGTTTACACGTACCTCAACCATTTCATTAATTTCAATAATACCGACGAGGTTTGGTGTTATTAGAGCTTGCTATACGTTGTGAAAACACCAGCTAGACAAGTTAGCACGTGTGCGTCAGATATTTTCAAGTGATTAGTAGACCTTCGTTTTCAAATTAACCATGCGTCTCTGGAGAGCATAACAGAGGCCATTGTTGGGAGTTTTTACTGGTGGCGCTACAATTCATGCGCTCTCGAAACGCTGACCGTATGCATCTGCGGTGTCAGCGAGCACGCGCTCACTGTGGGATTGTGATGGGTTGGTAGAGTGGGATTGGACTTAACGCAGTTCAAGCATGCAGTTAAACAGGATAAGTCGCGAGAGTCCATATGCCTAGAAAACCCATGTCAGTGTGTATTTCTAGAGCCAAAGCGCACCGTTACCAGCAAAATTTCAGTCTGTGAAACGGCAGCTCTGTTACACATAGGTTATGGTAAGTTGCTTGTTTACGATTTCTTAAAACATCAGCTTGCATGCATTAGTACACCTGAGAGTTTTAATGCTTGGAAATGGCTTGAAAGGGTAATGAAGAAAACTTTAATATAAGTTTAACATAACAGCAAATGTACAAGGTTTTGTCATCATTATCGTACCTGATTATGACAAAAACCATGTCGAAACGTTGTACATTTGCTGTTATGTTAAACTTGTATTAAAGTTTTCTTCATTACCTATTTAAGCCGTCTACAAGCATTATTAATCTCAAAGTGGGTTCCTCGTCATCGAACCTGGGAGTTTTCGTAAAGTACACAGCATTTTGGCGGTATTAATTCAGAAATAAGAAACGTTTACTGAAGTACAGTGTTTGTTAGAATAATATGTCGCTTTTCAGTGTTTCGTAATCCAAAGCTAAAGAAGAGCTTTAATGTTGTCTTGTAATTTACAAACACTAATTAAATCACGACTTTATTGACCAAAGCGGAATTGTTGCCTGTATTGATTTTTAGACAGAATAGCCAGGTTCTAAAAGCGAAAACAAATAACTCAATATGTACACAGCTGTAGAGTTATTTTTCTATGTATGTATTCAAATCACATAACGTAGAGTAAATTTACAAGAAGTTATATAAGTCAGATTGATTAAACAAAGTGCTAACTATGAGATTAAGTTAGGATTTGTATTTAAGTTGTTCTTATCATTAACATCTGATATAAGCAAGCTACCTACATAGATCACAACTAAGACTTAACACGGTAATTAATATTGCTAATTCAATATATTCTTATAACGATTAGAATGCACTGATTCATCATTTGTGTAACCTTGCTGATAGCGATATTTTCTGCTCTAATCTCAATAATATCTCGCGAGATCTTTGTTCATAATATTCATTTCTGGAATAGTTTTAAACCTTAAAGAGTTAGAAACTTGACATAAACGTAACAGCGTTTTTACAATTAAGAGCAATGACTTCTAATTTTTATGTTATGATGTTATCATTGACTTATATCAGAAAATTTTATTACAAAAAACTCTGTCATTCTATAAAATTTATTACACCTCGTGATTTATTTCTGGAGAATATAATCAGCACTTCAAGTTCTAGATAAACCCTAGTTCTATGTTTCAAGTATTAACATCCACATACAAAGGTTGCCAGTCAGTGATTCTAGGCAAGTTAATATATTTATTTAAACCATCATAAGCCCAAAATCTGAAACCATAAAAACACAGCTATATAAGCATTTAGGAGTTGTATGTAACTGCGCGTAGTCTCAAGGGGGAAAAATTTGAACTTTTCATTATGTAAAAAAATAAAATATAGTGCTTACATTTTCCACACATTGTTTAAGGGTTTATTTACTGAAAGCTATTAACTATAGTGCTGAAACCTTCATCACACAAGCTATTAACTATTGTCCTGAAGTGTTCATCAGGCACAATTTAGTTAGCATAGGAATTAAAAGGGTTGTCTAAAAGGTAGTCTAATCATCAGTGGTCCAATGGGAAAGAAAAAGTTCAAGTTGTCCACGACCCAAACAATTCGTGAATCACTGATGTATAGCAGTGACACCGTATAGCAAAAGCTTATTAGTTACAAAATATATTGGTTTAATCAAAATACAAATATATGTACTTTTTAGGCTTTTAGAAATGTCTTTTGATTAATAAGTTTTTTAGTTTATTCCTGAAGGATGTCATTTTCTACAAGATAGCAATGAAATGTCTGAATTGGCTATAACGTGTATCATTGAAAATTTCTATGGTCTCTGGTCTACCTACCTCACAAACTTCAGTTCCAAACTAACGTTATACAGAAAATCTCTTTCTGTGTGTGACGTATTCGGTTATTGAAAATTAAAACTCACATTTAAGGAAGGTCGTCTAATTCAACGCTTTTAAAAAGAAAACTAGGGAAACACAGATAATTTTGGGATTTTCCAAGAGCTATATTGCATTGGGAAAAATCTTTCATCGTTTTTGTAAACTAGGACACATTAAACCTTAACTTGTTTTCATTATGAATGTTTTCTAACAATATTGCCAAGATCTGTGGTGTAAAGCAAAATTAGAGATTATTTGCACAATATAGAATATGTTATGTTATCAATTTTTAGTAGTTTCTTTATGTTTGTTTGTTGTATAAGCACAAAGCTATACAATGGGCTATCTGTGCTCTCTCCACACTACGAGTTTCGAAACCCGATTTTTAGAGTTATAAGCTCCCTGATTTAACGCTCAGAACATATTTTCTGGTTAGATTCATTATCATCTCTAACACATACAAGTTAATGAACTTATTCATATACTACAACAGTGGCATTCAGATCAGTAATAATTAAACAATAAGTGGATAAACGCCATATTTCCCAAATGAGAAGTGAGAAAACACCATATTTTCCAAATAAAAAGTGGGAAAACACCATATTTTCCAAATAAAAAGTGGGAAAACACCGTATTCCTTAAAGGAGTAGTGGGTAAACACCATATCCTCCCCCCCAACCATGTTTACCCTCAACTACATATACTGGTTTATTTTTTAACTAAGCTTACTAATAATTTTCAAGGCTGGGATTTCCATATTGAGCCTATTTTAAAAACTAGACCCAAGTATTTTCTTTGTAGTTTGTTCAAATATGTTTACGGCTCTATTGAATCGTTTTCATGAATAAAGAGTTTCCAAACTAGAGATGGTTTAAGACTAAAACTAAATAGTTTCTGTTAAATACGATTGCTTTCTCTGTACTGCTCGCTCCTGTTTAAGAATCTATTAAACAAAAATTTAGTTAATTAAGACCTTTGAGATCGTCTCTCTCAGTGAACTAACATTGATCATTAAAGATACTTAGAGCGAATGTGATCTTTTGTTTCTTATCTGAATAAAATTACCATTATAGAGACGCGGAAGTGCAACAAAAAGCCGAATTAAAGTGAAAGCAGTTAAAAGCCCTAGTCTCTAATGTAATATTTTATCTGATTGTCCAGTATGAAAAAGATGCTTCAGCATGACGGCTGAGAAATTTATTCAGCACACGTGAAAGTGGAATAAGAATTATCAAGAGTAGAATACACTAGAAGTTCTATGCTTTAAACTAGTTTTTATTATGATACATAACATTTTCTCAGGGCTTATTTCAAGGTTTAGAGAAGGCTTACTTCATTTATTTTCTTAAGCAGTTTGAGAGATTGACTTTCGATATCTACCTATGTAAGTCTATCTGTCTACTAAAAGGAAATCCAGGTAGTCAAAATACTTGTTTAGAATTTTACATTTACAGCCATTAGTTGTTTACTACTTTCGTCATAGGTTTGTCAGCATATATTTGCATTCATTTTTCACACATTCAAATCTTTCAAGTAATTCGATTTCTTCAACAAACTGAATTATTGCCTCTTGGCAGTGACACCTGCTATTTATCAAGTATTCACCAGCATGAAATCACGTGCACGAGCCTACATGTAAAATATATATACTTGACTGATCCTTCTCCCCCACCAACCATATGGCACCATCAGATTAACATCTTTTTCGTTCGCTGCAACACCATCTTAATGGGAAAGCGTAGGCAAATGTGGAAAGTGTTAAAGAGGACATGTTTTTTGCTTCAAAGCCAAGTGATTTCTTTAATCAGGCCATTAACAACCTGACTGTAAGATGGAAAAGCATCGATAAGAATGGAGTCTATTTTATTGAATAAATGTTTTGTTTTGACATATAAGTTGTTCGGGTTTTTTTCATCTAAGAAAAAGCAACATTAATACTATGTGACATACTATGTGTGTTTGTTTGTTTTTTATTATGCACAAAGCTACACAAGGGCTATCTGTGCTCTGCCCACCACGGCCATCGAAACCCTGTGCCATTGGGGGCTGTGTGATCCCAAGAAACATTATAAAGAATTATGCGATACAATTTGAATAGTCATAGATTGGTTTGGTTGGAATTTCGCGGAAAGCTACACGAGGGCTATCTGCGCTAGCCGTCCCTTATGTACATTATAGGAAAGGCAGTTAGTCAACACCACCCACCGCCAATTCTTGGACTTCTCTTTTACCAACGAATAGTGAGAATGACCGTCATATTATAACGCCCCCACTGCTAAATAAGCGATATGTTCGATGACGGGGACTCGAACCCACGACCTTCAGATTGCGAGTCGAGTGCCTTAACCACCAGACCATGCCACGCCCTAAATGCCAAGTAATTTTTTACTGATAATATATGCTTATAATAACTATTTAACCCCAGAATTGTTGGTGGTGTCATGAGACCCCATCGGATTTATAATTACACTTTTCTAACTTATTTGTTTATAAAATTACTTATAGGTTCATGACGTTGTTGATTATAGGGTTCCTAATAAAATATAAATCACTCAAACAAATGTAGACAAAAATATCATCAATAGTGCAATTAATCTTATTAATTACTGCTGGGATTCCCTTTGTATTTTAATTAGAAATTGAATGATTTCATCCACTATATTTGTTATGATATTGGTTTTGTTTTCTTAGTGCAAAGCGACACAATGGTGGACTCGAACCACGTATTTTAACATTGTAAGTTCGTAAACTTACCACTGATCGACCGGGGGCTATATGACTAGTTTTATACATCCAGTGTCACAACAGACTAAAACATAAAATTACTTAATATGATACAATATGTCTACCCTGCTGGTAGTAAACAGTTTAAAAACAAGTCGATAATTTGATGGTTTACGTTTAACTTAATAATTACGAAATTCGCGAAAATGTTCAATTTGCACTTGGTATAATTACACATCTGCCACATATGTTCAGGTAAGAGGTGCATTTTGCTATAACGTTCTTGGATAATTCGAGGAATTATAATCACTGAGTTTTGATGTTTCAAGAATTTTTACTCAATCTCATTTTATATTTTCCAATTTAAAGAACACTTTTCGACATCATATTTTCAAATACAGATACGTTAGATCATTGCTGACAATGCATCAGCTACAGAGTGT